GAGGGCAGCCGGAGGGCGCCGCCGCCGCTAATCGCCCCCCTCGAAGCCCTCCTCCTCCTCGGGCACCGGGTCGGCGTCCCAGCAGGTGATGTCGATCTCTGCGGGCGGTGGGGAGGGAAGGGAAGGGGGGTGAAGACGAGCCCAGCCGGCCCACGTCCAAACCCCATCGCTCCCCCAGAACGCCTCCCCTCCCCTCCGTCCGTCCGTCCGCCCGTCCACCCACCCGGGGAGCGCTACCTGGAGGCTTGTTGTAGAACACAGGGGGCGGAGCCTTGGCGCACAGCTCTTCCGATTGGGCAAATTCCTCCTCCTGTGATTGACTGAAGTACCCTTCACTGGCCTGCTGGGGTGGGGGCGGGCGAAAGGAGGCCGGGTCACTGGGCCCCGCCCACCAGGATTGGGGCCGACCAATCAAGACCCGAGGCCGTTTCCTCGCAACCAATGGGAGCCCACCAGCGGTTGCCAGGGAAACGCGGACGCCCTGCCCAAGGGAACCGCGGAACGGAGGTTCCCACCGCCTGGGTCCCGGTTAAGGCCGCAGCCCCGCCCACCTGCGTCCCCTCCTTCTGGGTGGTCTCGCCATTGGTCAGCAGGTGGGGTTCCGGCTCCAGCTCCGGCTCCGCCTCCTGCTCCACCTCCCCCTGGGCGGAGGGCAGAGCTGGGGTCTGGGGGGCGGCCAGGGGCTCCCCTTCCGCCTCCCCCTCCTCCTCCTCCTCCTCCTCCTCCGGGTCGCAGAAGGTGGCCGGCGGCTCAGGCAGCTCATCGAAGTTGAGGAGGCTGGCACAGCCCTCGCTGGCCGGCGGCAGCGGCTCCCGGGCCGCCTCGTCCAGCAGAGGCACCTGGGCCGGGGGGACCTGAGCACCCGAGGGCGGTGTGGGGGCCCTAGGCTCAGCCTGGGGTGCTGCAGCCTCCTCCCCGTTGCCAGGCCATAGGTCAATGAGGCTGGCGGGGGCAGGGGCGTTGGCAACGGCGGTGGCAGTGTCGGTGTCAATGGTGTGAGCGGTGCAGGCGGCGTCGGCAGGGACAGGCTCCTCTGGGGCGGCCCGGACGGGGGGCTCTGGAGGCTCGGAGAACATCGAGTCCTCCAAGGGGCTTCCTCGCCCCGGGGGAGGCTCCTGCGCCCGCGCGGGCTCCTCCACGCGGCCGGCCCAGGCCTGGGGGGGGATGGCGGCGGCGGCTGGGGCTGCTGGGGCCTCCTTGCTGGTCTCTTCGTGGTCCAGGCTAGGGCTGGGCTCCTGGGTATCTGTCACACACAAACGGAGGACACGATGTTGAGGTTCAGCCCTCCCTTGCGGAAGGTCCGGTCCACCCACCGAGTAAGACAAGAATGACTTCTGGCCAAAGCAAGCCTGGTGCCTTCTGCCCTGGCTGTATCTGGTGTCTTCAAGCCACTGCGCAGACCCAGGAAATCTTGTTTATTTTTGGTGGGGCAATTGTGGGGCTTGAACTCTGGGCCTGGGCGCTGTCCCTCAGCTCTTCAGATCAAGGTGAGGGCTCTACCCCTTGAGCCACAACACAACTGCCGGATTTCCAAGTGATTTACTGGAGATCAGAGTCTCATGGGCTTTCCTGCCTGGGCTGGCTTTGAACCTTGATCCTCACATCTCAGCCTCCTGAGTAGCTAGGATGACAGGTGTGAGCCACCGGCTCCCAGCTGCGGTAAATCTGGTGTCTTCAAGCTACTGGGCAGATGCAGGAAATCCTAATACCCCATCAGAGATGAGTCTGAGGTGTAGAAAAGGGCCAATGCCAAGGCTCCTCTGCCTTGTCACATTTACTTCTTGGCAGGGGTGAAGGGGGGGTGGTAGTGATGTGGAAGGGGTAGGTTGGTGGAGGGGGTGATATTGGTGGTCCAGGTCCCTGGGGAGCTGTTAGGCAACCTAGCGTTTCCAGCCTAAGAAATTGTTAGGAGTCCCCCCCACCCCCACCCCTCCTCTCACCCTGAGCTGGTGGGAGCGGTGGAGGCAGCGGCGGAGGCTGAGAAGCTGTGACCTCATCCAGGGCGCGTTCGATCTGCTCAGTGACAGGGGTGGAGGCCGTGCTGGAGTCCGAGGGGCTCCGGGTGGGGATGGGGGTGGGTGCCATCCTGCGGTGGCTGTCCAGGTGACTGCCTGTAGAGAACAAAAGCCCAGAGCCGGTCAGCGCGGGCTGGGGAGCCAGCTGGGAGCAGGACTGTTCACCACCTCATCTCTGGAGTCTGGGTGGGGGGCTGGGAGCACCCCAGGCCCCCCCCACCAGGGGCCGGACCACAGCTTCAGACCCTGTAAACCAGGCCCCTGGGGGCCAGTGGCCCTCAGGGCCAGGGGCAAGAGGCAGGCAGTACCTGCTCTGGGGACAGACAGCAGAGGTCAGCAGTCAGGCTGGGGGAGCAAGGGCCAGGGGGCTTCTGGGAAGCGGGGGCCCTCCTCACCCCCCGCCGAGGCCTGGGGCTGCTACCTACATGGGAGGGAGGAAGAGAGGTTTGGGGTGCGGTGACAGGTGATATAGGGAAAGGGAGTCCGTGGAGGGGAAGAGGAGGAAGAGGAGGAGGAGGAAGGCCCACTGTCCGATGCCTTTATGAAAGGGCAGTACGGACGACCTGCCGAGAGAGACAGACAGAGAAAGAGACAGAGGACAAGAGAGGGTCAGTCTCTCCTACCCCTCCCTGCCCCAAGGCCTCACCCCGCCCCCCCCACCCCCAGGGCAGCCCTAGGCATCCAAAGCCCCCTTCCAGCCAGGACACACATTCAGCCAAGCGGGAGGGGGCCGCAGCTTCAAGCCACCAGATGCTGCCACCAGCACCACCAGCCACGCACACACAGCCACGAGCCCGCCACGATCTCGGCCAGCCCAGCCGCTCAGAGCAACAAGCACCAGGGACGCAGCCTGCCCCACCCCGGGGGGGGGGGGAAACCAAGGCAGGACCAAGCAAACACTGAGACCAGCAGACAGGGCGTGGAAGGGCACCGCAGAGGGAGGTTTGAAACTGCAAGGGGCAAAAAGCCAAACACACAGGAGAACCCCGGGATCCAGGGCGCTGGAGCTCAAGGTCAGGCCAAGAGCCTGGCACACATGCACCCACAAAGCCCCTTCCGGCCGGACCTAGCCACCCGGCCGGGCCGGCTCCCAGCAGCCAATGGTGTGCCCGGACCCACACCCGAGCTGCCCAGTGGGCCCCAAGCACCAGCCCCTGCCCAGCCAAGACCCAACACGGACACACTGAACACTACCACCTCCACCCTCCAGGGGGCGCTGCCACCCAGCAAGCCACGGGTGGAGGTGGGGGGAGGGCGGTCTTGCCTTTTCCTCTCTTCCAAGAAAGAGTTGCCACAGAGGCTGATTGGAGTGGGGGGGAGAGGGGGGCATCACCTGAGGAGGAGGAGGGTCAGGGAGGGACAGGGGGGCGGGGGCTACCTGGTCGATGGTTGAAGGGTGTGGGTGCCTCGCAGCTGCCGCCCGAAGCCGAGGCCACGCGCTCTTGCTGTTTGAAGAACTCCCGCGGGTTGTCAGGGCGCTGGGCGATGATGGCAGCCGCCTCCTGACAGCACAGGGGGGGAGAGGGGTTGGAGCAGGGCTGGCCGGGGTCCAGCAGGCAGCCCCGGTTACCCCTCCCCTCCCCTCACCCCACGCTCGCACCTCCACCTCCGATTCAGACTTCTTCATCTGGGTCTCTTCCTCCTCATCCCGCTGGTCACCCTGGAAAGCAAAGCAAGTGTCCTGGCCATTCGCCTCTTCTCTTGGCTGTTCGTTGGGTTTCTTTTTAGTGCCAGTCTTGGGACTTGAACTCAAGACCTGGGGACTTTGCTAGGTGGGTGCTCTATCATCTGAGCCATGCCTGAGCTCCTTTTTGCATTGGCTTTTTTTTTTTTTTTTTGGTCGGTTGT